TCCCCTGTCCCCACCCTCCATGATCTGTTTCTAAAATTTCAGATGCGTTTTCCTGGCTCTTAATTCCTGATTTAAATGGCCTTACATGTAAGGTAAAAATCGACAGGGGATAGCAGGGTATATTTAAAGACAGATTTAAAATGTCAAAAAAATCACTAAACAAGCAAAGGATGTAGATAGAGTTGGGGGAGAGAATATGAAAGGGTGACGTGCTTGGGATCCGACTGAGAAAATCAAAGTATTCCTTTCAGGAGTAATTCTTTGTTTACTGCTTGTTGCTTATTCTCCACTGTCTCCAGCACTTAGGATGGTCCTGGCAAACAGTGCACCATCGCCAAATACACATTGAAGGAGTGAACGAACACATCGAGTGGACGCTCCATCCCTGCCGTGTGCTGGCTGAAGCATCTGCCCGTCTGTCAGAATTGATCTAGAAAGAACTTCTGCCCTGCATGGAGCCTAAACCTCTGCCTGTGAGATTTCTTTCAAGGTTTCATGACTCCAGTGACGTGAACTCATTTATTCTGGACCATTTCTCTAACCAGGAAAAGAAGACATAATGGCTCATGTGGGGTAGAGTAGTTCTTAGCGCTATACTGACTTCTTAAACATTTCTCCGAAACAGGTTGATGTGGCTCTTTCCCAAAGAGGGGCCTGCAGGGAAGACTCTTTCTCATCCTGGCGACAGCAGGGAATAAGGTGGACAGGGCGGAAGATATTGAAGGTCCAAGTAGCCATGTCTTTCTCACAAAACCACTGGGAAATGCTTAAGGAGTCATTTTCTCTGTGAGTTCAGGGTACAGATCATCAAATAAAACACTCATCTTTTTCCAGCATGGTACAACTTGAAAGCTTTGTGGAGCTGGTCAAAAGGCAGCTGATGTGTTATTAATGGATCTATGTTAATTTTATTTTGCAGCTAATCAGTCACTAGTTGGGGAATACAGTCTCTGGTTTTATAACCTGCAAAACAAAAAGGCCATTGTAATGAGATTTGAGAAATACCAAATCAAAAAAAAAAATCAAATACGTCATGGAGATGCAGAAAGTATTCCTATGAAAAATTGCCGTTGAACATGAAAGATAATTCATTTGTACATCAGAAGCCAATGACTGCTGTTGCTAAGTGTGGCTGCTACAGACAGTTCTGTTACCTGGAACTCCTTTGGAGAAAAATGGGGTCAATATTCACACATTACTGAGTTGCAACATGGCCCTTTAAACTAGGAGTCTCCCACCCATCTCCTGGGCTTACCATTGTAGAACTGTCTCTCTGTTCAAACACACAGAGATGGCCTGAGAAGTTACCATCGGAAGAGTGGGCAGAGATGGGAACGTTAATTTACTAAAGCTGTTGGTTGATATTTCTCAGACACAAGGGCTTCTCTGGGAAGACAAAAACCAGTGCTGACACACCAGGCTGGTGCATATCATCACCCAAAAGGTACTGCTGTTGAAATTGTACACTAAGCTTTGACCCACCAGTGCAGAACCGAAGCTGACTGAATTATTCCAAATGCTGGAACAAACCAAAAACTATTTTGCAGAAGGTAAAAATTTTATTTAAACTTAAAAAACCCATTTAATGAAATTAACTAACATTGCTTTATAAAATGTGCCCATTCGTCGGAGGAGCAGTCTTTGGAGGCTTCAACCATTGGAGCTGTTCCCCAAGGAGAGGAATTCTGACCTCTATGTTTCCACAAATTGGCAAAAACTTTCACAAGAGAAGCCAACCGATCGCTTCTGTTCGCTGACCTACCTCCCAAACACACGCTCTTCAGTGTCCGCCCAGAGACAACCATCAGTGCTTCAAGAGAAAGCTGTGAATTGGATGGAGCCAACCCAATGATCTGACAGACACCGTAGCTCAGGTGGCAGGATTCCAAGCAGCAATCTGAGAAGCAGAACATCGACCATGAGCACATTCACATGCATCCCAACAGCTCCCGCCACAGCTGGAGCGAGTCATGGAGCTCCTAGTTTCGAACCCCTCCCTGCGCTGAGGCTGCTTCAACCTCTGCTTCCACCCCACCAGTGACGGGATCTCATCAGAGAACCAGTAGAGTGTAGTGGTAGAGAGCACAGACTGTTAGCCGTGTGACCTCAGGCAAGTTACTCAACTCCCTATGCCTCAGTTTCCTCATTCGTAAGAAGAGGAATGCTGCCTACTTCATAGAGTTGTTATGAGGATTAAGCGATTTATCATTCTTAAAACATTAGAAAACTATCTGGCACATGGCAAGTGCCACGTGTTTACTAAATAAAATTTCCTGCTGTCTCGAAGGCCACACACTGTATTCTTCGCCTGACTCTCTCGCTTTCCACGACTCTCTGTCCTGCTCATTTCTATTAAAACAAAACAAAACAAATATATATATATGTGTGTGTCTTGCCCCTTGCCTCCATTGTGCCTTGTTTGTCTCTTTCCTGTTACCTGTCACTCCTTCTACTTTGTTCTTCAGCAGAGTCCATTAGGCACACCCTGAAATGTGGTGAATGCCTACCTTCTCTCTTCTAAACCGGAAAATCCACAAATACGGTGCCTATTTACTCATTCTTGCATCCCTAGAACTTAACACATTGGTGCATTGGAGCTCATTTCTCAAATGAATTGATGGTTTTGATACAGGACACACGTACCTATCATATGTAAAGTAAACAATGTTCGTACTTAAATATAAAAGCACAGATGAAGAAAGAGCTAGGAATAAAGAAAAGGGAATACTGCTATTGTGGCCTTTAGCATGTTTTAACGTTGTTTACTATAATGACATATCTTTAAGTGTATACGGCGTTTCCTTTTAAAATGAATGCTGTCGAAGGAATTTACATTCTCTTTTTAGATTTGGGGCCCTCAGTTCCAAAAGGTATATTCAGGAGAGTTTATACTTACCTACATGAGAATATTGAACGTGTGCCCACCCATTAAGCATCTACTCACCGTGCCCCAAGCCCACACACCATGGTCTCAACGAGTCCGATGGCCTCAAAAGCAAAGTCGACACCAAAGCCCGTCATTTCCACCACCACCTGCTGGACGGGCTCCTTGAGCTTCCGAGGGTTGAGACAGTCAGTGACGCCCAGCGCTCTTGCCCGGGGAAATTTCCCCTCATTGATGTCAACCCCGATGATCCTAGAGGCACCAGAGGCTTTGCAGGCCATGACGATGGCCGAGCCGATTCCTCCAAGTTCAAAGACCACACAGGTGGAGCCGGGGTGACCTGCAAGTCCACAAGACATGTTTGTATTAGGAACCACACCTGGACAGGACACATGTGTAACTAGGAAAATAAACAAATCAACTGCACCATTGAGCCTTTTGAAACTATACACCGGTTGAAACATCTGGCCTGATCTGACCTAGTTTGGATGTTTTGCAGGCAAATCTCTATGGCGCACACCAACACACAGACAGCTCTCTCACCTTGGCCGAGTGAACAGCAGCCCCATAGCCTGTAGGCATCCCACAGCTTAGGAGACAAACTTTATCCATCGGAGCAGCGTCATCGATTTTGGCCACTGCAATCTCAGGCACAACAGTGTATTCAGTGAACGTGCCTGTGCGGAAAGCTTGATAAATCTTTTGTCCTTTGCAGGTAAATCTGCTAGTCCCATCCAGCATCAATCCAGAAGAAGGTAGAATGCTATTCCGCGGTGACACAGATGCAGGCACAGGCAACGGCACAGATGCGTGCAGTTGTAAAGAGAAAAGTGAGCACTCTTAGCTGCCGAGCGATGCTTGCCCGACATAAGCGATTTAATGAGAGTCAGGGGCAAATCTACTCACTCTTGCTTCTCACAGAAGTTTCCCTTGGGGGCCAAGCAGGAATTGCATTCTCTACACTGTGGAACAACGAGTGTGAGGACTTTGTCTCCTACATATGGAAAAAAATAATGTGCTCATTAGTTTAATATAATATTGGAACAGAAACACAATAGCATGTTTATGAAGAATTCATAGGATGGCTAGAAAGCTTGCTGTGGACAGATTACGGCAGCCAGTATAATATTGCCCATGGTTGTTGTGAAGGAGAAGCCATATAACAAGGTTTCAGAAATTCCATTTTTCTTTGGGCGAAGGGTGAAAATGTGGCAAGATTCCCTGCTGGGTGGATCATTGGAGGTCTGCTTCCGCTGACTCTGAAAAGTGAATAATAAAACCAGGCATGAACCCTAGCGAGGTCTCTGGCTTGACCCTTTTGTTTGCCATTTGAAGGGTTTAAATTCCCACAGTGGCTGTTAGCCTCCTAAGGTGGCCCGGCTAGATAGCAGGATGGCTCGTTCACTGAGCTCCCACCCTGGGATGGCACGCTGACCCGCAGCAGGCCTCTGGCATGCTCTCTCCAGTGAGTCTAAGTTCTAAGATGGGCAGACTTCACAGAATAAAAGGAATCGCTCTCCCTGCAGAGTGAGGCTGCTTCTGGAACACCTACAACAGAGGGTGGGTTTAGGTGTCAGAGTTCTGGAGAGGATGTTGAGTATGTTTGTATCTGGTCATTAGCTGGCCCTCCTGGGCTCTAGGGTGAAGATAACTAATCGACACGGTCATCACAGACTTACAAAGGCCTGGTGAGAGGCCTACAACGTTGTCTTTATCTTGATCCTTACAAATTTTTATAACACACAATCGAATTGCCTTTGGCCTCTTGCAGGGCTTAGATGGCATTAGAAATCTCTCCTAAGTTTAGATAAGGCATATCCTAGCTCCAGTGGCCCTAAAAATTTCCAAAGGTACTGGATCTCAAGCTCAGGAGAAGTTCTGCTCTCTTGTCCTTTCCCTTCAAACGCTCAGCATTTTCCACAAAACTTCCACTGGGGTTTTTCTAGTCAAAGAGAGCGTAGAGGTTCTGTCCTTCCTATTCGTATCACGTTCTCGGAGATGTGGAGACCGTGCCTTTTGACTTCGGTCCCTCCCACTATGCCTAATGTCCGCCGCACGGCAGGCGCTCCAGAGCCACTCGCTGAATGAGCACCCTGCTGACGGCTTCGTGCATGTCCTGACCATGCACTTGCTTACAGCTCTTTGCGTGTGCCTGGCTCCAAACTGCGAGCTTCTGGGCTGTCTTGATCTGCGTGATTGCTCTTACCCACTCTGAGCATTTCAGACACGCTGACAACAGCCATGCCAAGATCCTTGTTGAAATGCCTGGGGAAGAGCATGTACTTGCTACTTTGATTCTTTGAAATGTAGCTATCCTCCTGTCAATGAAAATTGAAGTCCTATGTTCTAGTTGATTAGAACCTGCATTCACTTGTCAAACATTCAGTGCCTTCTAACCGTGGGACAGGCACTGTGCTAAGCATGTGGGGGACACAAACATATATAAGCAGCAGTTCCTGCCCCTAAGGGGCTTTCAATCTGTTAGAAGGACACTGGTCCTACCTCAGCTCTCCTTTGGCTATGGATAGACGCTTGGCTCAGCCACTGCCCCTCTGGGTTGCTCCAGATGACAGCAGGGAAACTGTGCAACTCTTGGAATCCCTGGACACATTTAATACCATGATACGTGATGAGTTAGAAGAAGCTGGAGGCAAACCATTTTATTTCTCCTGTAAACATGTTCCTGCATTTTAAGTTCATCCTCTGTGCAAGGGAAGCTCTTGGGCAGACTGTTTGGTTTTGTGGCCCCATTTCCTACCTGGTTTCACTGAGCTTACTCCTCCACCAATACTCTCCACAATTCCAGCTCCTTCATGGCCTGGGATTAAAGGAAAGTTCCCCGGGAGTGATCCTTTCAGTATGTGATTATCAGAACCACATATCCCTGAAGATGTCATCTGCATAGGAATTAAGTGACCAAGGATCAATTGCTTTGGAAGTTTTCTTTGTCGTTTATCTGATACTGAACATTAAAAATCTTTTTCTTTTTTTGCCTGAAGAAGATTCACCCTGAGCTAACATCTGTGCCAATCTTCCTCTATTTCACATGTGGGTCACCACCACAGCATGCCTACCAATGAGTCGTGTAGATCTGTGCCTGGGAACTGAACCCAGGCCTCTGAAGCAGAGCACACCAAACTTAAACACCAGGCCGCAGGGCTGGCCCCTTAAAAAACCTTTTTTAACATGAATTATCTCACTGGATTCCTATTACAACACAGAGGAATACAGGGCAAATCTTATCACCCCCAACTTAGAGATGAGGAAAGGGAGAGTCCAAGATTTAGAATGACTTGCCCAAAGTCACAGGACGCACGCTCAGACCTGGAAATAAACTTAGCTCCTTTGACATCTACTCTGTGCAACCTGTCACCAAGCAGTTTTGCAATGTGAGGGCCACTCAATTACAGCGAAGAACTTTTTGACCACATGTCAACAGACCACCATTGAGAAACACTGAATTTTAGGCCCAACATAGTGGAGCGTTTCTCCACTGCTCTAGGAAATAGATTTTTGAAATTTTAAACTTGCACATTGAAAACATTCCTTAAGTTAATAGTGGAATATGAGTTTAAATTAAGGAAACTATCCATTGCAAAGTTGAACTGATGTTGAGAAGCTTTAAAACATCTTAGTTCATGGCTTCAGTTTTTGTGTCTGTGGATAGGCCCCACCGAATTCCACTGATCATAAAAAGGAAGCATTTCACGTCCCATAGGCCCTGCATCATTGCTCTGCCTGGAATATGGCCAGAAAAGCCTACGTTCGAACATACTGACCAGTTTCCCAGTATCTGCAGTGGGGGAGCCAGCATTTTACTGCTGGAACCCTGGGAACACCCGTGGTGTGATCGTGGCAAGTGGGCGAGAAGATATGCTGGCGAGAAGTATGCTTTGCTTTTGGTTCCCACAGCCCTAAAAAGGCTTCAAGGCGTTATTGAAGGCTGGAAAAGTTATTTTAGGTAGACAGCAGGCTAGAATCTCACTAGTTTTGTCCTACACACCAAACAAGAACGTGCAACTCTGTGAGAAGCCTCCATAGTGTAAGCTCGAGGGGGGCCGTCTGTCCTTGGGGGCAGACCCAGCCCTGAACCTCGATTGTCCAGGGCTCGGGGTGAGGTTGCTCAGGTCCTGGCTGCTGAGCTTCCCCCTTGGGGGCTGTTCTGCATTTGTTGTTTAGGGTGTAACCTTTATAGTTAAGAAACATATCAGTATCAGAACAGAGACTATTGGCTAATTAACTAGTAAGCATTTCATCAGATGGTGACCCCGTACACACAAGCACTAGTTAAATGCTGTTTGGATGGATGATAAATAGGAAAATACAGCTTCTGAATAGCACTCAGTTACTAGACTCCTTCCTTTGTGTACGATCTTGTCACTTTGCTCTTTCCCTTCTCTCCTTGGTGGAACAAAGTCCTTAGCGTGACACCAGACGTGGAGTTGATGTTTATCTAGTGTTAGTTCCCATATTCTCCTGCTTTGTCTTTCACTGGGCACCCATCTTTGTCTACTCCCCTCTTCCCCTCCATTGTCTTTTCCCTCTGGCATCTTTCCAACTGTGTTCATGCCTTTTCTCTGTTAATCTTCTAACCGTCTTCCTATGCCTGCTGCTTTGATTAGATACTTATAGACTAGATACTTCAGTATTCATTGCATTCACCAAATCAAGTGTTGAATGTCCTGGTCTTAAATTAGGAGATAGGGAAATTTAATGTTTAGTAAGATGCTAAGCAATATACTCTTAACCTTGCATATTTAGTGATTTTGTAAACTTCGAGACACATTGATTGAGAGATTGATTTGAAAGTGGCAAGGGCCTTTGAGAGGTCAGTGTTTCCCCAGCGCTGGTCTGAGCTCTGTTCAAGAATTCATTGTTAACTCTTTCAAATCACCTTAAAGGCCATCATGGATCCTAGTTGCTCACTCCTGGAAACCGAAATTTACCACATGGTCCACGTTTTCAAACAAATTCTGAGGTTATTTCAATGTACGAGCACAAAGTGATAGACACACATAATTAGTGTGTTGGTCACTGCGCATGTGTTTGTTAACACCAACTTTGTATCACTGAAGTATAGGGAAATGCTTCCCTTGTCCTCTTCCCCTCAAAAATGAAGAGACCTTAACACTTAAAACTCCTTTTAAGTCACATTGTGAAGTATATAGGCATATGATGTCATATAATTTGAGTAAAAATTTCAATAATTAAAAAATAATTATAGGGCTGGCCCCATGGCCTAGTGGTTAAGTGTGGTGGGCTCTGCTTCAGCGGCCCAGGTTCTGTTCCCGGGTGCTGACCTACACCACTCGTCAGTCAGTGGCCATGCTGGGGCGGTGACCCACAAACAAAATAGAGGAAGATTGGCACAGATGTTAGCTCAGGGCAAATCTTCCTCAGCAAAAGAAATAAAGATGATAGCAGGTAAGTGAACTATCAATATTTTACAATTGTTAAGACTATTGCAAACATTCATTAACTCTATTCATTTATCTCAGTTTTAAAAATTCTTCTTTTACTAAGAAAAGTAGATAGACCAAAAATGTAAATTATATGTGTTTTATATACAAAGTGAAACAGGATTTCCTTTCATTTGCCTTCAATAGTAAAGGTGAAAAGAGTCCAATTTACCTTAATACGAACTTCCCCAGCCTTTGGTGGCTCAAGCTGCACTTCTTCAATGGAAAGAGGAGAATTTCTTTCCCAGGCAATGGCTGCCCAGCATGTGATTGTCTGTTGACACAGGGAAAATAAAATGACATCATTTGGTGATAACGTTTAACTTTTATTCTGATCCTACAAATAATGCTTATTTGTTATAATTTGTAAAAACGCAACCATCATAAAGAAACAGAACAGGGATCATTGCACGTTCAGACACAAGCTGCTTAAATTTTAGCATATTTTCTTCTAGTCTCTTAAAATTATTTTTGTATAATTAAGATCATGTCATATAAGCAATTTTGTATTAGCTTTTTTGCTAATAACTGCCACCATATGTTGAACATTTACCATTTACTTGCTCATAAGCACTTTCCCAGGACTTCAAAATGCTTTGTAATCATACTTTTATTCTATTTATTTATTTTTTTAAAGATTGGCACTTGAGCTAATATCACCCAAGAAATTTCTAGCCATTTATTTTCCCCGCAGTGGGACTCAGTGTCCATGAGTTTCCACAGGTGGGAAAACACTGGATATTGTCGTCACATTCCATGAGAATCTGATTGGAGAAATGATGTCCTGACTTTCTTTCAATGTGCGCTTCTGGTGAAACTATTGAAGTCGATGTAGATATAATTTAAAGGCAGTACTTACTTTACCCAAAGTGTCCATGATGAATTTTCAGCTTCCCGTGGTGTCTTATAGGTATACCCAAGAGAACTTCACTTCTTCCACTCTGCTTCTGGGCAAACTAGATGGAATATTTATAGTTTTATACACCGAAAGTCATTAATAATTATTACACCATTGGAGATCAACATGCGGAAAAAGGAACCAGCAATTAATGATCTAGAATGTGCAGCTCTGAAACAGGGCCAAGGGTGCGGCTAGACAAACCTCTGCTGAAGAGGTCAGCTGTGTTTTTCACGGATCTAGTCAACTATCTGAGCAGAAGCCTGGAGTAGAAGTGAGGTTATCCAAGAAGGATCTGTGAAACTCCCTTCTATGTGACGTGTGGACCCTCTTGACAGACACAGAAAACGACGAGACTTTTGAGACTATTATCCCAGAGAAACACTGCCTATGTGGACCGACGGGCCAGAGACAGGATGAAATGGAGAATGGCTGTCAGACTTCCAGGATTCCACTGCAAGACAAAGGGCGATAGAACTAGTCAGCTACAAACATGTGCTACCCTTCAAGACAAAGGAACAATGACTGAGGGTAGAGCTGCGGATGCAGAGGCCAGAGAGACAAGCCCAGAGGGTAGAGCCTCCCTGGAGCCAGAGGGCGAATCAAGCCCTAGAACATTATTCTCAGGCCTTGAAACCTAATGGACTTACCCTGCTGTGGTGAGACCTTTCTTTAGACCAGAGGTCCTTTATTCGTTCCATTTTCTCCCTTTCAGAATGGAAATGTCTATCCTATGCCCATCCTGCCATTGTGTCACTGACTAGTCACCCCAAGGAAGTCAAGGGTGGGTTTGGATATTTTGTCTTTCCAAATTGTTCCTTTTCCTTTTGTTATGTCAAGAGATGCAATCACCAACCACCCTGAACCAGACCAAGCCTCACAACGAGAGCTACGCCTATGGCCTGAGCCTTATTTTATTGCTAAGCTCTGTACAGGAGCTGAGGCCATATTACCGTAAGCTGCAGTCTATGTGGAAGCATGTCTTCCAGCTGAGCCTGTGCAAGCGAATACCCACCTCTCCCTTTTGAATATTCATTCCCCATCCAAAATAAATGCCCCTGCTTCCCTTTGTTCAGGGAGCCAGGACTGTGGAAATGATTCCTCAGGGTCTCCTATTTGCCACAAATGCACCTTTCTTTGTGAGACAACAACTTCTGGTGGAGGGTCTGATTGAACTCGCCAGGAGGGAACCCACTTTGGTTCGGTGACAATTGTACTTTGGAAGCCTGTAACCCATTGTCTGGTTTGACAGGTTCACAGATAGGGAGGAATTTTGCCCCAGGATGGATCATACCCAGAGTCTGGCCTATACCCAATTTACAGAGTAAGATTTGGAACTTTTGAGTTGAAGATATTTAGATGAGAGTTAGAATTTAGAGTTGATTCGAAAATAGGTTAAGACTTTGGGGGATACTGGAGTGAGGTAACTGAATTTTACACGTGGGTTGGGGATTGATACAATTTTCGGGAGGCCAGAGGAAGGACTATACTGGGTTGAATAGTGTCCCTCCTAGATTCACGTCTTCCTGGAATTTCACAATGTGGCCTTATTTGGAAATAGGGCCGTTGCAGACATAATTAGTTACATTAGGCTAAAATGAGGTCACACGGGATTAGCAGGGGCCCCAAATCCATTATACCTGTTGTTTGTATAAGAAGAGGAGAGGACACACAGAGACACACACAGGAGAGAAGGCCGTGTGATGAGGTCTATTTGTATAGGCAACATTTTGCACAGTGCCTGGAAAATACTCAGTGCTTCAGAGACGTGAACTGCATAATTACTGGTTTATAGACAGAGATTTTTTAAAGTGAAAAGCACTAATATATAAAAAGAGAGAAATTGAACTGAGCCATAATAAGATACTCAGATAAATTTGGATTTTGGGCTATTATAATTTACTTGTTTTCTTCCAAAGGTATTAATTCCTAGCATTTCCTAAGGCTGTTCCATAGGTGGTCATCTAGCCACAACTGTGGGTCAGTGCGTGAGGGTCTATCTCCCCAACGTTTGGCCAATAAAAAGATGTTGTGTGTGTTTGTGTAGTCCCTAAGGCTCCTTGTTCAATTTTTTGCTTCCGCCAGACCAGTCTGTTTATTAGTCCGTGAATCTTCCCGTTTCCCTGCTTCTCTTTCTGTCTCCTGTCTGAGTGGGGGGCTTTCTCCTACACTCCTTGGATGTGGGCTCCACCCTTCTTTGTCTCTCTCTTCATGCAACTAATGAGGGGATTTTTGTTTGTATAGTTCATTTGGAACTTAGCGTGCACACCCCTTTTTGTCACCTGTTTTCTGTGTAGAGGCCGGTTTCTAGGTTGGATTTGAGTTAAGAAACACAGAAGTCAAAACTACAGAGTAAAACTTTGTCTTCTTCTTCCCCTTTTTCTCCTCTTCCACTTCGATATAGGAGAACTGGGTTTGAATCTCTACCCAGGGCTGTTTAATGATAGTTAATTGATTTTTTTATTTTTTAGTTATTTATTGTTTTGAGGAAGATTAGCCCTGAGCTAACATCTGCTGCCAATCCTCCTCTTTTTGCTGAGGAAGACTGGCCCTGAGCCAAGATCCGTGCCCATCTTCCTCTGCTTTGTATGTGGGAAGCCTGCCACAGCATGGCTTCCCAAGCAGTGCCATGTCCGAACCCAGGATCTGAAACGGCGAATCCTGGGCTGCCAACACGGAATGTGTGAACTTAACACTTTGCCACCAGGCCAGCCCTAATGATAGTTAATTGAGGGATTACATTTGCCTAGCTATTTTCAGTCCTGAACTTCAGTGTTGGGTTAAATTGACACTGATTCATATCAGTCCCTATTTTATTATGGTAGAGCTACTACCAGTCAAAACGTTTCAATAGAGAGATTGACATATGCTCCAGCACTCTCTGTTTCACAGCAGAGAAGTCAAACACCAGTCAGTCACAGCAAAGGTGCTCACTGTCCCTGGCATTTCTGCTCCATGAGATACAATACCAAGCAGCATTGACTGAGTGCCTCCCTGTTCCAGACACTCAGCTGGGTAGAGTGAGGTGACAGTGATGGGTAAGAGACTGCCTCTATCCATTCCAAGAGGCAGTATGGGGCAATGATTATGACATGGCCTTGGGTTCAGGCAGACCCTGTCCTTACTAGCTATGTGACCTTGGATTTATTATTTAACTGTCCTTGGCCATAGTTTCCTTATCTATAAAATGAGGACAACTAATAGGACCACCTGAAAGGGTAGTTTGATGAACAAATGAGATAATCCTTCTAAACCATTTATCAGGGAACCTGACAGATAGGACAACCCTCAATAAATATGAGCTACATTGATTACCCATAAAAGCAAGCTCACAATCTATGGGGAAAAAAGACATACAGACAACCAAGTCTCGTACGTGTCAGCCTCTCTGGGAAGGGCCGTGTTATGGGTATAAATTAGTGCTTTTGGAACAGAGAAGGAGGCGCTGTTCTGAATGAAGGACTCAGAGGAAGCTTTGTAGAGGAGCAGGCATTTGAGGTAGACTGGAATAATCTTGAAGAACGGGGGTCATTTCTACTGTCCTTTGTTCAGTGTAACTAGTGTGAGCACGGTTTCCAGAGAATAGCAGTTTGAGTTGTCTTTCACCCATATTTGGAGGCCTCATAAAACCCATCGTACAGTCAGCTATTTAATTAGATGTAGTCTGTCAAGGTGGACAAATTAACATAAAGGACATATTTCTCAATGATTGTGAAGGGAAGAATTTCATGACTAGTTCGCTGAGCTTTAATTATATGGTCACTGAGAAACGACTGAGGCCTGAGGAACAGTCACCCACCAGAGAAGCAGGGTGGTCCCATGATTTCAAGTTGCTTCCAGTTTGGAAAGGACTGAAGAAAATGTGAAAGTCCCATGTCTCGTGTCTCTCATTCAAGGCCCTTCATAATTGGATGCTAACCTTCTCATCTACCTTACCCCTGCATATTCCCTAATACAGGGTCTAGGTTCTTTACAAGCTTGTGTCCACATTGTCCCCCGAGCAGAAATCCATTCCTCATTTAGCCCTATATCATCGTGTCATCATGTTCCTTCTCCTCTTTTATGTCCTCTTGGTCCATTCAAATCCTACTGAAACCTTGAGACATAGGTCAAAGTGCCCCACTATGGAGATATGGAGCTCCATCTCATAGTCATTCTTTCAGCACTAGCATTCCTCCTGTGACATTTGGGACCATTTGGGACTCTTCTGTTGCTCTTTATATTTAATGTAGAGATCAATGTCTCAAATTTGACTGGAAATTTATGGTCCAAGGCCTTCTTAAATTTCTCTTATGTTCTCAACTGCATTTCCTACCATGTATGCAACAGGTGTTTAATAAATAGCTGTTGAGTTCTTGTGCTCCCTCACCTTAGGGAGGGCATATGCTAACCATGAGGAATCCCATAATGAGCACCATCCAGTGCCTCCTCTTTGAGTGCTTGCAGATTAGCAGTGGGGTCGGGATTCACTAGGTCCTCAGGACAGAGAAGCCCCCATACCAGTTAGGAAGTGGGCAGTGCCAGGAGAGTTCCAACGTGGAATTCAGCAGAAGAAGACCCCACCCTGTGTTTTATTTGCGCATTCTCAGCAGTTACTCAATGCCTGGCAACATAGTGGGTGCTCAGATATTTGCTGACTAAATTGAAGGAGTGAATTATACTTTGAGAATCCAGGAAGCCTTGACAAATGATATTTTATTACGACTTATCTCAAAAGATGAATTGGAATTGAGAGATACAGATGGAATCAATAGCATGGACAACGAATCCTGAACTAATTATTTTCTCTTAATACCCTCTTTTATACATTTTCCTGTTATTCATCTCCCATACCTGGAGGCCTAGGGTTTGAAGGAATTATAGTCATTACCACCTTGCTTTTAAGGCCCAAATGATTTTGGAGCCCTGATGCCCAATCATGCCCTTCCATCACTCCATGAACACACGGCTCTGTGACCTATGAAAACACATCAGGACAAACTCCACAGAGGCAGGCCATCTTCTGATACCATCTGGCAAGTGCTCTGCTCTCA